CTCAGCGCTTGCGGTTGCTTAAGGCAGACTTCTGCTCGTGTCCACCAACGAATTTCAGGAAGGCTGGAAATTTGGTGCAAATGATGGCCGTGATGTGCGAGTAGGCCTGCGAAACACAATCACTTCTCAAAATGCCTGAACATTGCTGCTAGGGATAGGGGTATGCGCGTGGAGTTGCTGTTGGACCGAGCAAGGTACATCTCAGCAGGATGTGTCAAAGGCTCAACACATCAGAGTTCTGACAGGTTGGTGGCTGCAAAATTGGCACGTGGCTGCGCAACACCTCACCCTGCCTCCTTCTGTCTCTTTTGCAGCTCCTCAAAGCAAATTTTCAGCGGCCGCGCGTTCTCTTCGGTAAGCTCCTGGCCAGAGACTAGGCATGAGCAGCATGACGTGCAGCACTTAGATTGCTGCAAGGCCTGGCGCTTGAACAACTCATCCAAGATGCTGATGAAGACTGGGAGACTTGAACTTTGCCATGGGAGGACGGCGAGGGAGACAAGTGCAGAGACGAGCACCTGTGTCTTCCAAGTGCTGGCGCGGCGGAGGATCTCCGTGAGAGTGGCCGAAAGCGCCTGGACTGCTGCTAGCAGCTCGCCACCCAAGTTCCGGCGCTGCCTGCAAAGCACAGCATAGGCCCAGAGCAAATTCGTGATCTCGTAGGGCTCACAGCGGCTCAAGTCCGCCGACGCGGCGAGCCTCTCAGCAAGCCGGCCAAAGAGCGATGCTTTGAAGATGCGAAGGCTTGCCAACGACCAGGCGATGACTGTGCAGCACTTTGCTGCCATTTTCTTTGGATCAGCCAGCAGCTTCTCGGCAGCGCGGACCAGCCTCTGAAAGTCTGCATGGCTTTTGATCTGCTGCGCCATGTCTGGTCTTCCCTGGCATGCTCGGCAAATACGGTGAAGAGCTGTGGATATGTTCACATCGTTCATCTCCTCCAGCTTGCTGGACGCCAGCTGCAGGACCTCACAGCACCCCCAAACACGCTGAACTGTGTCCACAGCATCAACATCATGTTTGCAAATGTGCCTGAAGGGCTGCATCTGGACCAGAGGCAGCCAGCACCAGCTCCCTGTTTAAGAGCTTCTGGGTTTTCAGACCTTCCTTCTGCTTTGTCTCGGACCCGTGTGCGCAAGTCCCTGCCACAGGCTCGGCGGAGCTTACATCTCCGCGTGCGAAAAAGGTTGGGCCATCTCTGGCCACGCACAAAGACTGGAGCTGACCCGGGCTCGAGGAGCTGCGTTGAATTTCTTTCGGCTCCGACTTGGGGAAGTGCACAAACGTGTTCTTCGAGGGAATGGGGCCAAACAGCACCTGCCCACAAATCGTCACAAAACCTACAAAGGGGCGCACACTGCAGGAAGCTGCAGCTATCTGACCTTCCAGGGCGGTGTCATCGAGTGGAAATCCTGCGCGGGGTGCAGCACGTGCAACACGTGCAGCAAGAGCTCTCGCCACAGCAAGCCGCAACTTCAACACTGTCCTTGTCATGTATTGCCTGGATGCTTTGATAACTAGCCAGCATAGCTGCCATGGCTGCCGTCCCTGATTGGGGATGCTTCCTCCCTTGGCAGATGGATTTACACAGGACCTGATGAGACGCATGCCTGCGGAGCACTGCTTGTCGACCGCATG